ACCCCCAGCGCTGTTCCAGCTGCTGGGAAGACTCAGCTCTGTGTCAACTAGAAACCAGGACAAGTACACTTACACCTGAACTTATGTATAAGCTGGATAAATTCTGTGTAGTAAAGGATTTTAATATTTTATTTCCTGTTATGACTAAACTGCTGTAAGTTCTTTATAAGCGATGGAATTCTTTCTGAGCTTTCATTTTTTTTCCATTTTAAATATACTGATGAAGTTGGTCAGTGATACCACAGGTGGATGCTGTGGTCACACATGTAACTAGTTTTACTTGACCAATGTAGGTACTAGAACTGACCATTCAGTTTTATTTGCATGTAATCACAATACTAAAGCTCCTTAGACGAAGTATAGATGTATGGTGAATTATTTTTTTTAAAGTATCTTGATTCTTGAATCAACCTTTATCCTATTTTGTGCATTTTCTTAACACCTTTTAATTCTGTACATCTTTCAAATCGAGCTCTGTAGCTTTAGGCTATTCAAAGGAATGAGAGGGGTTTTTGTTTGTGTGGAATTTTTTTGTTTGCCTGTTTTTGTGTGGTGGTGTGAAAGAAGAATATCTGGATTTCCAATTAATTTGCCCGTTTCCTATTAACAGGTTAATTTCAGAAAGAGGACTTCCAGCCCTAAGGCACATGTTTGACAATGTAAAATTCAAGGGTAAGGGCCATGAGGTAAGACATGGTGAACTTTTGTTTTGTTTCCTGGGGGTTAATCTGAATTTGATAGATTACTGCCCATCTGATAGGGAGAGTATTGATACTCAACTCCAGTTAGCCAGCTTTCTGACAGTATTTGAATGTACTCGGATGGGGTTTGTAGTTGCAATTTTAAAAAAACCAAACGTGTATGTGTTAACAAAATCCATGTTTTTATCTTAAAAGTATTTTCCTGTACTCCAAAACCAGAGTAACTTGTCTGACTCTTTGTATTGTCCATAGAAAGAGGTTTTTGAAATTGGAACAGACTTATCAGACTTCCTTTACCATCTCATTTCACGTTGTTTCCTTTGTTAGTGAAAATCATCTGGCTTTGTGATGCCTCTATCCCAAAGTTTTTAATACTGAAAAAAATGTGACATACCACTTAAGCAAAGAGAGAGCAGGATTTTCTCTACAAACTGTCTCATTGTCTCGGATACAGTTAAACATACACAGCTCACTTTTCTTTAAATATCATTAGACTATTGGCTCCAGGCTTGCAAGGATGCTTGTGCTTCTCTGGTTTACAGAGAACATTCATGGTATAAATTTTCTCTTTACAACTGGAGGCACAAAGAAATGAGGCAATACTGCTGATCTCAGCAAAAATCTCTACTAGGTAAGGTTATTTTATTTTATTAAGATGTACATCTTTCTGTGTGTTCTAAACATCAAAATAAATGCCAGTTAAACCCCGATGGCCTTTTTTTCCAGGCTGGGTTCAGACCTAGGTTGCTTGAGGGCAACTTCTCAGAAGCTTGTCAGGTGTTTTACAGTGTATACAAATACTTTTCCTGAACTCAGATCATTGTTCTCTTCATAGTCTTTCCTCACACAATCAAGTCTGTAAGTGTAATTTTTAGCTATTACTTAAATTTTCAAGACACTTCCAAGCTGCAGATGCTTAATATTTTTAGAAGTATTACTGCCATGTTTCCCTCTGCAGTCTGTTAACTTGGTGAGCTTTTACTAGCTGGATGTCTTGTTTTGTGCTCTAGGCAGAAGACCTGAAGACACTCATACAACATATGGAACACTGGGCTCATAGACTATTTCCAAAATTGCAATTTGAGGATTTTATTGACAAAGTAGAGTCTTTGGGAAACAAAAAGGAAGTTCAGGTACGTGTTGTTCCTGTCAATTTCTTTTCATGCAGTACTGAATAGTGTGAGAGGTAGGAGAGCAATTATGCAACAAAAGGAGACAAGTTGTGCTTGTACTTATACTGCTGAGGAGTATAAAGTTATTTAAATTAATTTATCTCTTTAAAAAAAACCAAACAAACCTCTTTCCAGTATTTGAAGTTTTCAGATTTACATTTAGATATAACTTTTCCTTACTTGACTTAGTACTTCAGATAATTGGCTTCAGTTTTTTCAGGACATCTTAACCAAAGTAATTTGCTTAAGAGTGCTAGAACAGGTTTGGTTTTGGGATTATGTTTGTTTGTTTTCTAACATTTGAACCTGCAGAAGACTTTTGAAGAATGCTGCTTCATCTGGCTAGGTGGTAGATGAAGGACTAGGAAAACGATCCACGGCATTAAAAGTTGTGGCTCAAACAGACATGTAGTAAAAGGAGTATTTTTTTTTCAGAGTAATAAAGTGTAAAGAGAAATCGGGGGGTAGTATTAAAAAATATATCAGTGTTACACAAAAGCTTTTTACAAATGAAATATCAGTATTTTAATGTCTCATTTGCAGACCTTCCTCAAGCGGATTAGACTTGATCTTCCTATTTTACATGAAGACTTTGCAAGTAACGAAGGTGCGTTTGTTGTGCTGCTTGTTCAGTGCTTAAAATTACTTCACTTCCCCTCCTGCTGACCAGAAGTTAGTGATCATGCCATGTTTTTCTAATATAGAAGAAATTGTTGCGGTCCTCTGTTTTAAAACCAAGCTTCTGTGAGATTTAGGATTACAGAACTGAACTGGTACTTGGACTAAAATGCTATATATATATATATATATATATACACACACATAAATAAAAATAAATGTGTGTGATATACTGATAGGATGGAAAATGGGTATTGATTATCAGTGTTGTTGGAAATATTCTTCCAAAAAACCCTTAAAACTGCACTTATTAAGTGAAGACACTGTTTTGTTTTTATGAGTGTGCAGTCTAAAGAGCTCTTGGATCTTATTAATGCAGAAATCAGACTCACTATACTGTAGGCTGTGACAGTGCAGTCAGGGTATAGTGTCCTTTACAGGGAAAGTATGAATGCTTGTCAGTGCTTATGTCTGTGTGTCAGTCCTGGCATACAGCTACTAGTGAGTATTTCTTCTTCCAATAGAAAATCCAGCCACTTAACAAGTAATTCAAGGGTCTCTTCTAATCAGATGATTTTTAAGACAGAGTAGAAATAAAGTATTTATTTATTTATTTATTTTGCAAAAAGAGGGAGCAGAATTCATCTGGTAGTTTGAAAGAAACTTTATTAGCAGAAGTGAGAGAATCTTGTAGTTGTTCCTGAGGTCCTTTGCAGGTGCTCACACTTTGACTGTGAGTCTCTTGAAACCATTATCTACCCATTGTCCAGTTTGTCTTCACTTGAACCTCAGCCTCTAGACAAGCCAGCATTGGGAAGGATGTTCTGGTGGATGGTTTAAGCAGTGGTAAAACCTTCCCTCACCTGAGGTGAAGACCTTTGGGCACTTAGTGACGTGTGGCTGTCTTCACTGTTGGCTGCATTTGCTAGAAATGGAATGCAACCGTAAGCAGCCACAAAGAGTAAAGCAAATGGTTCCTGCCGACAGCGTCTGTAGAGTTATCAGACTTTCTGTGCGATGGTTCCATACATTTGTAATGAAACGTGGTGCTGATCTGTTCTTGAGCTGTGTTAGTGTGTGTACTGCTACAACTGCTCGGTCTTCAGCTGAAAAACCCGTGTAGCTTAAAGTTTTGATGTAAAAAGTGCAGTTAGACATATTAAAAACCAAGACCTTGTTGCCAGCTCACTTCTCTATTCGCAGGCTTAAAGTGGTGCAGAGGCACAAGCAGACTTGGCCTCAGGCACTCTTAAAAGAGTGCTCTGCTGCTCTGGTGGTGGGTGAAGTTTGTCTAGCAGAGTTGGACTGCCTCCATTTTGCATGTGTTAATGTTGGCAAATGAGTAAATACTCTGTAACAGTAGCACACTGAATTCAGAACTGACTGTTGGATGTCTGTGTTTGACTGAAATCTGATTGCTGTAACTAGTCCCACCACTTCCCAAAGGACAGTGTTGTATCAGTAGGGGTGGGAAGGAAATTAGCTGTCCTTTCAGCAAGGACTGCCTGAATTTATTGTCTCTTTTTACCCTTCAAGCACAGTTCATGGTTGCTACCTTAGTACACAGAGCTATGCCTCTCTAAATTAATCATAGAATACCAGACTGGTTTGGGTTGGGAGGGACCTTAAAGCTCATCCAGTTCCAACCCCCCTGCCAGAGGCAGGGACACCTTCCACTAGACCAGGTTGCTCAAAGCCTCATCCAGCCTGGCCTTGAACACTTCCAGGGAGGAGCATCCACAACTTCCTTGGGCAACCTGTGCCAGTGTCTCACCACCCTCACAGTGAAGAACTTCCTCCTAATATCTAATCTAAACCTCCCCTCTATCAGCTTAAACCCATTTCCCCTTGTTTTGTTATTAACTGCCCTTATGAAAATTCAGGTGTTTATTCTTGTTGTGTGTTTGGGATCTCTGACAGGCATTTGTTGTATATTTTAAAAACCAGGTATGTGGACCTAGGCAGAAAATTGCCCATTAAAACTAAATTACAGAATGACCTTCAGCTGTGAATGTAACTAAAATGTAGAACATGGAAATGCTTTTAAAATGTTCTCTTGACAGATATTTAGCAGTAGATCTCTCTTGGTCTGAAGTGTTGATTTCTGCCCGGTTTCCCCCTCGTTTTTTAACCAGATGGTGGAGGGGAAAGCAACGGGCTGGATGCAGCCATTTTTCTGCTCTGGAAATGCAGAAGAACTCCATCCTCTGTCTGCTACAACTCTCACAGAAGAGCAACAAGAGCGAATCAAGAAGAACAGGCAGCTGGCCTTGGAACGTAGGCAAGCGAAGCTGCAGTGGAACAGCCAGTCGCAGCACCACGGTAATGACTCTGTCACTGAAGTGTTCTTGTTCAGGTCGGTAGCCTGAGAGGTTTATAGAGCTGAGATGCTGGGTCAGTGAAATGGAAGGGATTGCTGTTCTAGGAAGTAGCAAAATGTGTAACTCAAATTTAACCTGTGTTCCTGTTGTTGGGCTCCTCCCAAGTTAAGACAGAACTACTCTCCCTGCTTGTCATGCCAAGTTGTGATTGTCTTTGATAAATGACTTGGCTTGCTGGTCATCTCTGGAGTTGGCTTTCCTGCAGGCTGTGATTCTGGTGACAAACTGCAGTTCAACACACAGCAGCAGTGTTTTCTCATGGTAGGAAATTGTTTGTTTTTCAGCAGAGCTCTCCACTCATTCCTCAGAAGAGGAGTTTAATACTCCAGTTGCTCAGGATCCTGCTGACCTTATTGAAGACACTCAGGCTTCTGCAACCAGGGTGGCTGTTACAGAAGCTGAAGATGGAGATACAGAATTGGAATGTGCTGGTGAGAAGCAGTAACCATTCCCTGTTCTTCAAATAACTTTCTTGCCTGTAAGCCCCCAGTCTTTTAAGTACTATCATTCTATTGAAATGTTGCGGGCTCTTTGCTGACTCCAGAGGCTTCATGGAAATCTTCACCGTGACATCTGTATCTCTTGAAACTGCAAATGAGCAACTCTGTACACTGGAAACCAGAACAAAGTTCTCCATCTGTGCTGGAGATGGCTTTTCCACCTCCCCCAGCATTCTTTGGGAAATGTTAATGAGGCTTTCAGCCTACTTCGGACTTGTTTACAATTGATGTCAAAGTGATTTAACTGGGATCTTGACAGGGAAGTTTCTATTAAAGTTATTTTGTTTTTTTAATAGAGGGTGTATATAATAGTGGATAGTGCTATGTCTGAACAGGTGCCCTGCATTTTTCTTACTGACTTATCAAGTACCTGTATCTTGTTCTTATAAAATGGAAGCTATTAAATTTCTGAAGTAAAACCTGAAATTCTTGTACGAGGCTGTTACAACACCCACCCCTCCAGCCCTCCCCATCCCTTGTGTTAGTCAGACATCTCTTCACAGACAGGTACATCCCCTTAGGGGATGTGCTTTGGTTCTGACCCAATTAGGTCTCTTCCTTCAGCTGATTCTGCTCTCTGTTTTGAGGCTGTTTTCATCCTCCTCTTACCATCCTGTTTCTTCTTCTTGCACAACAGCTCTTCCCTTTTGTGGAATGAACAAAACCCACCGTACTGGTGAAGCCCTGAGCCTCCCTCTCCACTAGCACAGGGCAGATGTGCTCGTAACAGAAACTGAATTTCTAGAAACTGAATTAAGACAAGAGCAGCATTCAGAGCAGATTAAGTAACTTCATGTCAACAGGTGTCATTTTGGGGGCTTGCAATGAACAAAATTGTTCTAGATTAGTGTGAAGGAGTTTGGGTTTTCTGTGCTGTAGCTCTGAGTTAAATGCACCGAACTATAGTGGGAGATAGCCAAGAGCTGGAGGAAATAGGTTTTAAGAACTTAATTTATGGACAACACGGGAAAGTAACTTTTTGAATGATAGTTAAAAGAATTCACCACACTGTCTTTAGTCTGGAAGATAAGATTTATCACATATAAAATCTTTTAAAAACTCATACATGTTTATAATGAGGTAAAAATAATTCTTATTTAAAATAGATATTTAGTTGCTTATTAAAAGGACTCTTGAATATTTAAATAGACTTTTTTTTTTTAAAAAAAACCCCCACAATTTATCATACAAAGTGTAGAAGAGCAGAACATCAACACAGCAGTGTTGCTAGTTTATAGTTCAAGTTCTAATGTCAGCTGAAACATCTAACAGAGCCAAATCCCTGATCTCCTCCAGGATCTGGTACAAGCTTGCTCCCTTGGTCTGGCAGTACTCCTCATAGTCTTCATCCATTACTTCAACTCCTGCTTTTTCTTGGGCACGCTGGGCTTCTGCAGACTGACTGACTTCTTTTACTAAGTCAGATTTCACCACATCAAAATTCTTCTGGGAAACATTAGTGTCTGAAGTCTGGTATGGTGCATTCCTGATTATTTCAAGCTTGATTGTGTCAGCGTGGCAGCGGGAAGTCTGCACAAGTATTTTCACCTTAAAAGCAATACATACATTATTTTATTTTTGATGGTGCTATTTCCTTTTACTTCCTTCAGATTTAAGTACTTACTGTAACATGATCGAAAAGGCTTAATGTAACTGATTCTCCAGTGCTTGTAGTGGAAGTAATTTTGTTCTGAGAGCGATTAAGTGATCCAGGCTTCCACTCACAGCTCCTATCGCCTTGACAAGCGATGACTAAGCCTTCTTTGTTTTTCATATATGCAGCACCTTTGATTCCGTATCTACAAAAGAGCAGATGAGCAGACAGAAGCTGTTCTAACAATCTTCAACTTTATCAGTTCTCTTAATTTTGAAACCAACAGAAGGTGAGCCGGGATTATATAAAAGCAACATAAGGGGGCAAATGCTGTGGCCTGATAATGCTGCCTCAGGGGCACTGATGTGCGCTGTCAACCCCCTGGAGGAGATGAAAACAGTGACTGGAGTGTTTGAAAAGCAGCAAAGCAAAAGTAAAATCCAGTCAGTGATCCATGGTGTTGGGTGGAGCCTGAAGTGGCTCGATAATGGAAGGAGAGCAGCATTACAGGTTATTCCAGACAGTGCAGTGAGGAAACAGCTCTCCATTAAAAACATGGGTGTTCATGGCATGATTTTCTTTACTTACATCCCTGTAGAATGGGGTGGTTTTTTGGTTTTTTTACAGGAGAGTTCTTATGCCTCTATTTCTTGTACCTGTTAATGGTAGGCAGTGTTGCTATTAGCAACACACAAACACAAAGATTTATTAACTAATCCCAAATGTCCAGAGCCAGGAAAGGAAAGGCTGAAGAGCTGGCCCAGTCTTGGGAGAGGCACAGCTCCACAGTTCTGTGGTGACTGGTTCCTTCTTATATCATTCACTAGTCAATTTATAACAGCAGCAGAACACATTTAGTATACTTTATAAAATATGGCATACTTTATAAAATATACTGTATTTTAAAGTATACTTTTAAAATACAGATTTAAAAGCTTAGAAACTAAAATGTAATGTTAGCTTCAGGTAAATAGTTTATTTCTTGGATAAATCAGAGGCAGAGCTGATACACAGGCACTTACAAGAGCCTAATTGCTATAAAGAGCACCCTGTAAACATTATTTCTACACTTCCCTGCTGCCTACAAGGAGTAGGTGTGCAGAAGGCACACTGAGCCAGCATAACCTATAGTCTGCAGGGAAGGAAGAGTGCTCAGGAATGCATGGCTTCGTCATTTGGAAAATGCTGCTTGGGTGAAAAATGGTCTTTTCATGTTTTGAAATAAATAGTGTGCAGCATTGATGATGTGAGTGCTGGAGCACCTCTCCTATGAGGACAGGCTGAGAGAGTTGGGGCTGTTCAGCCTGTAGAGGAGAAGGCTTCAGGGAGATCTTATAGCAGCCTTCCAATACCTGAAGGGGCTACAAGAAAGCTGGGGAGGGACTTTTCATAAGAGCAACTAATGACAAAACAAGGGGAAATGGGCTTAAACTGAAAGGGGGAGGTTTAGTTTAGATATTAGGAAGAAGTTCTTCACTGTGAGGGTGGCCAGGGAAGTTGTGGATGCCCCCTCCCTGGAAGTGTTGAAGGCCAGGCTGGATGAGGCTTTGAGCAACCTGGTCTAGTGGAAGGTGTCCCTGCTGCTGGCAGGGGGTTGGAACTGGATGATCTTTAAGGTCCCTTCCAATCCAAACCATTCTATGATTGTCTTACCCTTTCCTCATAGGAGCTCCTTCTCAGAGTCAACACACAGAAAAGCACTGCTCATCACTTACAACAAAAATCCAAAACCCAGGCATCAGTTAACACCAGGCCACATAAAAACACTTCCTTTCTCAAGGACCAGGGCTGTCCTCACAGCATTCTATTCACACTTAGGCCTTATTTTTAAGCTAAGTCCAAGCTGCAATCAGCTCACCTGGGTACAAAGACAAGCACGCCGTTTGTTCGAATGGAGTAAATAACACCGTCTGCTACGCAGCGCTCGTCTGATTCTGGTGATTTGTCTTTGAAGTACATGCACTGGAAGAGTTCAGTAGACTGTTTCTGAGCACGCTGGGCTGCCTGCAAGCACCCCCCATGAAAAAAAGAAGACAAAACCACCTAAATAAATATTTTAAGGAGCTTGTTTGGCTTTGATTTCCAGTTTCTTTTTCCCATTGCTTACTCCCTCACCCATCCCCTAGAAAAGGAAATCCTGCATGTTTTACGGGTGAAGTATGAAGTCACTTTTATTATCACCCTCAGAAGAAAACTGATATTTAAGTAAAAAAATCCCAAAAGTATTATAAATAATGAAGTGATACTATGTTGTTGTAGTTCCCAGAACCCACAGTCAGGACTGGTATCCCAGTTCTTGGGCAGCGTTCACATTTACAGAGACACCCACGCTGCCCATCTTACCCGGTTTCTGTTATTAATGTGTCTGCACAATTCCTGCAGATCTTTATTACTGAATACATAATCCTTAACATCTCCTTTAGTTTCCTTCAGAGTCGCTGCCATCAAGAGTCTGTGGACAAGAATATCAGCGTATCTTCTAATTGGAGAAGTGAAATGAGTGTACTTCTCTAAGGCGAGTCCTACAAATGAAAAAGGAAGCGGTGATAAGCAATCAAAGCAATCTACTGCCTCCCACCTGACAGTTTATTAACAGAAATATTAACAGGATTAGCATGACAAATAAAGTGACAGGATACCGTAATGATGGAACTCTTCCACGGGACAAGAGCCAGTCGAGAAGTACAATGCATTGGACATGGCGTGAGTGGCCATAGATCGCAACAGTTTATTTACAATTGGATCCGATGGGTCGTTTGCTTTATCCAGAGATTCAGCCAGTGCTTTGTTAGACCTGTCAAAAAAAGGGTTAATTCTGAGAAAATTATGCTATCCTTGATCATAATATCGTTAAAAATACCATTCAAAAGCACATAAACATTGATTAATAGTTATTAATATAAAAATATGAATGACAAGCAGAATGGGATTAAAACTTTCAACACTGTTGTATAACAGCTTTACTACAGAAAAATGTTTAGGAAAAAAAAGCAGTTTTCACCAAGAGGCCAGTCTCCTGCAAGCTGGAGAACTAAGAAGGACTGGAGCAAAAACCCCTTCTATGCTGTGCCAAACCGATGGAGAGCTGGTCCAAAACCTGTTCTGAAGAGGAGAGCACAATTGGGACTGGGGACAGCCCTTGGATGGAAGGCACGACTGATGCCCTTCACACTCCAGGATATCCAGAAATGCCTCCTGATGTGATGAAGCTCACAGCTTTCTCATACTATCTTCATAAAGTAATTCTGAATTACTTTGAGTCATTTAAAATTCCTATATTGCACAGAATTAACCTGATTTAAACAAGTACTGTCTTACACAGCTGTAATCTGGTGCAAACAAGGTTATCGC